AAATATGTCAAGACTTTCCCAGCAGCCTGAAAGATTTGATTACATATGTAGATATCAAAAAGCACAGACAGTAGAAAAGCAAGCTGGAGGAAAAAAGTGTCTCCAGTAAAATAGTTTTCTTTAGAAAATATCAGTGGGGCCAGCAGATGGTGTAATGGCTATGTCACTGAACTCCCATGTAGTCGACCACAGTTCGAGTCCCAGACCTGGCAACTTAAAACTCATGCTGGGTATGTGTATGTGCACGCCCAGGATCCTGAGAGGAGAATAGAGGAGAAGAGATTAATCACCACCTACCCCCCAGAGGTGATTTCTTGCTTTCCGTCTGTCTCTGTCTCTGGCAAGCACATGCACCCTATAGCAAAAATTTCTCCAAAAAAATCAGTAAAAGATCCCATGTAGGAAAAAAAAAAGATGTGTGAAAGGCATGAACTGTACTAGATCAAAGAATAGAAACAACCGGGAACATGGAAAGTAATTAAAGAAATGCAGATTAACCCATCAGCATTGCTTGCCTGTTGAATTATTAGAGATGTCTTAAAGGTTAGAATAAGTCCCGTTGAATAGGCTATGGTGCTGCTTGTGTACACTTCTGGGTGGAGTATAAAGTAGTACAATCTTTTTGTTTGTTTCTTTCTGCTATAGGGCTGTGCGCTCTCCAGAGACAGAGAGGAGGGAGTGGGAGAGAGAGAAAGAGAAAAAGAGAGAGAGGTCATCCGTCGGGGATGGCCATGACACAATTCCTTCTCCTCCATTGTCCTCTTGGGGTTTGGGACATGCATACACACATGCCCAGAGTGATTTTCAAGCTGCTGGGTCTGGAATTTGAACAGCAAAGCCGCCACGTCGGATCCAGGTACCTCAAGCTCCACGCCACCTGTTGGCCCAGTACTTTTTTTTTGGCCAAGGGGCACATGCACTCACCAGAGACAGAGGGAACATGAGAAATCAACCCCGGGGATGGCCATGCCATAATCCTTTCTCCATTCTCCTCTCGGGATTTTGGGCATGCACACACAGGCAGGCAACTGGCATGATTTTCAAGCCACTGGGTCCGGGACTGGAATGGTGGTGGGCCATGTGGGACCCAGATCCTTAATCACTATGAATCATTATGCCACCTCTGGCCCCCCGTACAGTCTTATAGGGGACAATTTCTGTAAAAAAAGAAAATCCTTATCTAATCATTAATCACTGCAATCAGCAGTGGGGAGACAGCCTGATTATTCCCTGCAGATGTGTAAGGATCGTTGCAACCCTATTCTCAACAGTATGGTAATTAAGAGAGCAGAGTGGGAGACTGACGGGTGGTGAGCTGGTTAAGATGCTGGACTCCCCACATGGCTGACTGTAGTTTGAATCCTGGACCTGGTGGTTTGCTTTCTCACTTTCTCTCTCTGTCTCTCTCTGGTCAAATTAAAAAAAAAAAAAAGTATATAAATAAAATACTGGGTTGTCAAAAAAGTCATGATGTATTTACTGTTTTTCTATGCAAAAATGTATCATGACTTTTCCAAAGACCCAATAATTCCTTTTTTTCTATTTAATTTTGTTTATTCATTTATTTTAATATGACCAGAGAGAGAGAGGGAAAGTGAGAAAGCAAGCCACCAGGTCTGGGACTCAAACTGTAGTCAGGCATGTGGGAGTGCAGTGCCCTAACCACCACTCCACCTGCCAGTCCCCCAACAATATTTGCATTATTGTATTTATTTATTTGTATCAGCTCTGGTATTTTGTGGAATAAATGGATTTCCCAAAATGGAGCCCTACTTTAGGAAAGTGTCCTTAAAAGGATTTGGCCTATAATGGTTTAATTTGGGATCATTTTCTGGGAAACTGTCAGGTCCCAAAGTCAGGGGAGCCCCAGCACATGGAGACAAGCCTGAAGTGTGGACAATAAAATGCTAAGTTCAACAGTGCCAAATTTTATCTTTACACCCTAGGATTTTAATTTAAAAAATTTTTTTTGCTTATTTTCCAAGTTGCTTACAAGAGTATATACATCCTCAGTGGCTCCCCATGCATGCAGAATAAAAGGTAAGATCTTCAGCATGGCGCACTGCACTCTGGTCCCTTCCTCTCGGGTATCGTTTTCATCACTCCTTGTCTGAAACTATGTCATCAACGTTGAATTAAGTTACAGCTTGCCTGTGCTGTTTTCCAAACACCTAAAACAGGGATGACAAGTATTTGTCTAACTTTTAGGACTATTAAAAGATCCGATGTGAGACCAGCAGATGGCGTAGTGGTTACATTGCTGGGCTTTCACATGGCCAACTGCAGCTCAAATCCCAGACCCAGCAGCTTGAAACTCATGCCAGGTGCATGTATGTGCGTGCCCAAAATCCCAAGAAAAGAATGGAGGAGAAGGGACTGCACATGGCCATCCCCTCTGTGGGGCTGATTTCTTGCTTTATGTCTCTCTGTCTCGCCAGAGAGTACATGCAGCCTATGGAAAAAAATCTCTACCAACAAAAGATCTGTTGTGATAGTGTGCAAACCCTCGGAGAACAAAAAAGTGGTACCAGGACGAAGTATTGGGCCAGCCCTGTAGCCCAGTGGTTAGGGGAGTCAGGTCCCACATGGCCAACTGCACTAGGAATCCTGGCCCTAGCTGCTTGGAGACCATGCAAGGCATGTGTGTACCAAATCCTGGCAGGACAGAGAAATGAAGGGATGGCAGTGTGACTATTTCCCATTGAAGGGTAATTTTGCCTGCCTTCTGTTTCTCTCTGGTGAGGGCACACATCTTCTGGCGAAAAACAGAAAGAGAAAGAAAGAAAGAGAAAGAGGGAGGGAGGGAGGAGGGGAGGGAGAGAGACAGAGAGAAAGAAAGGAAGAAAGAAGAGAACACTGTTAGCAGTTAATGATGTCTCTGTGTGACAGTTAACTATTTCTTCATTTTTACCTGCCTTACTTAACCTAGAAGCTCCTCAAGGGCAGAAAGGGCCTGACACAGCTGTCAGGGCACAGCAGGGTCCCTTGTCCACAGTGGAGCAGCAGGCACTGGCTGACTTTACTGAACGACCGAACAGAATGGTGTAACTAGCGGGCATGGAGGACAGTCAGAATCTTCCATCAGGAGGAAGGGGATGGACTTGTAATCGCTAGTCTCTTTTCTGTATTTCTAGGTCAGTTGTTTCATTATTCTTGACTCTCCACAGCCAAATTCTAGTAAGACACTGAACACAGTAACAAGTTTTCTGAGAAGTAACAGACACAGATAAGGATCACTCTAAGTTTTGATCGCTGATAGAAAATGTTACCTAAAGGTGCAATTGACTATCTTAAGTATAAAACGAAATGAGCAAGTTCAACTTTGTCAATACTTGTGTGGCCCAAAGGGATTTTTGTCTGATCTAGCCTCATCACTGTGTCTGCTTCCTTTCCGAGGACCACGCTATAATAGTAACTGTACAAATAGAACTGGTTACAATGTCACAGATGCACTGTTTACAAAGAACAGCTGCATTCACTCGTTCACTGAATACATTTTATTAATACAAAGAACCGCTGCATTCACTCATTCACTGAATACATTTTATTCATAAACCTCCTTATGCAGGGTAAAATGTCTCATGCTTTCCTTAGCATGAAATCGTGGTTTCTCCTTCAGGCACACTCACTCAGTGCATGGGACACTTCCATTTTAATTACATCAACACAATTCCTTCTTAGGCTCTGGTATCAACAGTGTAGAAAAAGCAGTTTTTCTTGAGGCAATAGCAAATTAACAGCACTGATACAGCGATTTGATAGCTGTCACCATTGCTTTAAGAATTGTGAAACTTTCAAGGGAATAAAACCATAATCATCAATAAAAGGTTAGTATCCTCTTCTCAGGACACTGACACCCTCATAAGGGGGTCTCATTCTATAGAACTGCAAGGACCTCTAACCTTGCTTCGACTGTTTTAGGGCTGAAAATTACTATTATTCAGATTTAACTTTATTAATGACATTTCAAAAGTATTATAAAAAACTAAAATTCATTTTGCCTAGGAACTATACATTTTTCACAGATGATGTTCGAAATAACATGCCTGCAGACAAGTTAAACATAAAATCCACTATTTGGTAATACCTGGTAGTTCTTACCTTCTTCCAAAAAGTCCTCACAGAAACAGATATGTGAATAAAGAAAATATCAGGTCACTGGAAAAGTCATGACGTATTTTTCTGGTTTTCTATGCAAAAATGCATCGTGACTTTCCTGACAACATAATAGTAGTTCTACTGAAAAGATGAGTCTTCTCCCAAATGAAAGCCTCATTAGGCTTTCACGTGCCCAAATGTTGGAAACCATCCACACCCAGACTCGGTTATGTCCCGTGGGGAAACAGAAGCCGGATCTCACTCAGCGACACAGAGTGGGTAATGCCTGCTGTCTGCTCTCCACCTGAGCCGAGCTACCACGTTTTGGTCTGTGCTGTGCTCAGGCTTGCTTTAGGAGGTCAGGATGAAGAAAAGGGTTAGATTTTCATTTTATTTTTTCTTTTAATTTGCTACAGAAGTGTGCCTGCACTCACTTGTGGGGGGAGGCAAGAGGGAAACGGAGGGGGATGAGCACACCGCAACCCCTCCTCCTTCATTCTCCTCTGGGGATTTTGGGCACACGCACATACTTGCCCATACATGCGTGGTTTTTAAGCTGCTGAGTTCAGGACTCAAACTGCACATTTGGCCCTATAGGATCCAGCCACCTAAACCACCGCACCACCTGGCTGGTTCCAGACTTTCATTTTCTATTACTCTCCCTAGAAAAATTAAACTCGGAGTAGGTAGAATACTACCAAGAGGATGGCACAGTGATTGGCAGACTGGCCTAAAATAGTCAGGCCTTTTATAATTCCCTTTTATTTTGGCGGGGGGGGAGAGGTTTTTGCTATAGGGCACGTGGCTCACCAGACAGAGACAGAGAGACAGAAAGCGAGAAATCACCCCCCAGGGGGGATGGTCATGACGCAATCCCTTCTCCTCCATTCTCCTCTCAGGATCTTGGGCACACACGCACACGTGCCCGGCGTGAGTTTTAATCCACTGGGTCCGGGACGCGAACCGCGGTTGACTATGTGGGAGTCCAGCGACATAGCCATTACGCTAACTGCTGGTCCCGATAATTCCCTTTTTAAAGCTGTCATTTGACATAGCTTCAATCTACAACAGTGGGCAGAGGAAAAGTGCGGCCCATGCTGTTAGTGAAAATACTCCGAGACAGAAGGAAGTGTGAACCTGACAGTGACGCTCACGCTCATGGCATGTAGAAAGTCACAATTACTAAAGCTGGATAAAAAGGTCTCGAGAACAATATTTTACAAACTTTGGGAAAAATACTCATTTTTCAAATAACTTGCAGTACAATTTGCAGATTTCCTCTGGTCTCTAAGGTTTTTCTCCCTGCAGTGCTGTTCGGCTTCGCAGCCCCTCATACTCGGTTTACCAGCAATTGCTTCTTTATGTGGAAATAAAGCTCTGCTTGTTCATCAGTTTTCTGTATGTGCCATCTGGTTTGGAAAGCAGCTCTTCATGTCTCCCGTATTCGGTAATTCTCCCCTGGTCAAGGACAGCCACCATATTAGCATTCTTGATGGTGGACAGACGGTGGGCGATGATTAACACCGTCCTTCCTTCCATTAGGCGATCCAGGGCTTCCTGGACGAGGTGCTCGTTTTCGGCATCCAGGGCGCTGCCAGGAGAGCACACAGGAGGAAGCAGAGGTCAGTGGCAGGCACACGTCCGAGCCGCGCTCCCAGCACCCTGGCCGGATGGTAGCAGGGGATGTGCACTATGGCCAAAGTTGTAACTGCTTGGGCTGAAGATGGATCGGGAAGCAGCCTGGGACTCCCTGCCCTCCACAGCACTCTACTGTGCCATAAGAGAACGTGGTCTGCACAGCTGTGGCTGCCAGAGCACTCGGGTTCAGCTCCCGGGTGTCTGGGTCGGAGCCAGGACCCTGCCTCAGGGCCGTCTGCCCCTGCCTCTCAGCTGCCTTTACCAACCTGGACATCACCACTCTCAAACACGAACAGAAAGGCTCTTTCGGCTCTACCGCCTGGAAGCCCAGAACGAGGTTTCAGGAAGGAGGGACTGAGCACAGTTACACACGTCAAGCTCTCTCACCTTGTTGCTTCATCTAGGAGAAGAATTTTGGGATTCTGAAGAAGAAAAAAAAATTTATTAAAAAACATAAATTCCCAGTATGTACACAAGAAATGAAAACATACTCCCCCACAGGGGCCAGCAGGTGGTGTGGTGGTTAAGGGCACTGGACTCCCACATGGCTGGACTGTAGTTTGAGTCCTGGATCCGGAGGCTTGCTTTCTCTCTCTCCCTCTCCCTCCCTCTCTCTGGTCAAACTAAAAAAAGTTAAATAATTCTTTAAAAAAAAAAAAAAAAAACACACATACTCCACAAAAAGGTGGATACAATTGGTTCACATTTATAACTCAGAGGACCTCAGAGTCCGCCAGCTTGTGAATGGATAACGGATGGGGTGGTGTATCAGTACTACTTGGCAATGTAAGAATGGAATACCAACAGGGCAAAAAAGGGAGGACTCTCAACGTTACAGTAACTGAAAGAAGCTGGATGCCAACGACCACATATTGTCTGACCCTGTCTATCTGAAGTGTCAGAGAAGCAAGTGTAGACAGGCAGAAGGTAGATTCATGGCATCCTGAGGCCCAGGTGAGGGCAGGCAAGTCTGCAAGTGGGCACGAGGGAACTTTCTGGGGGTAGAAATATTTCAGAATTGGGTCGGGTGCACAACTCTATGAATTTACTGAAAGTCACCAAAAGTGCATTTTAAGATGGGTGAATTTCATGGTATATAAATTATATTTCAGGGGCCAGCAGGTGGCCTGGTGGTTAAGGGCGCTGGACCCCGACATGACCGACCATGATTCGAGTCCCGGACCTGGCAGCTTGCTTTATCACTTTCCCTTTTTCTCTCTTACTCTGTCCCTCTCTGGTTAAATTAAAATAAATAAATAAATAAATAAAGTTAAATGAAATAATTATTTTAAAATATTAATAACAAAATTACACCTCAACAAAGCTTTTTTTTTAATTAAGGCTTTTAAAATAGGGTGCATGCGCTCACCAGAGAGGAGGAGAGAGACAGTGAGAGGGAAGGTGTGAAATCACCCCCAGGGGGCTGGCCAGGCTACAGTCCCCTCTCTATTCTCCACCTGGGATTTTAGGCACACATGCACATGTGCCCAGTGTGATTTTCAAGCTGCCAGGTCCAGGACTCAAACCATAGTTGGCCATGTGGGAGTCTAGCACCTTAACAACTATACCAGCTGCTGGCCCTAAAGCTGTTTGTAAAATCACCAATAAACCAGTGAGAATAACAGTATAGAAAAAGAGAAAGCTATCATTTCCTTTAAAATACTGGGTTGTCAGAAAAATCATGACGCAGTTTTACATAGAAAAACAGAAAAAAATAAGTCTTGGGACCAGCGGGTGATGTCATGGTTAAAGCGCTGGACCTCCACCTCCACGTGCTCGACCATGGTTCTAGTCCCAGACTCTAGCCTGAGACTGAAACTCATGCTGAGTACATGTGCATGCATGCCCCAATCCCGAGAGGGGAATGGACAGAAGGGATTGTGGTGGGGCCATCCCCCGGGGAAGATTTCTTGCTTTCTCTCTGTCTCTCCAGTGAGCACATGTGCCTATAGCAAAAACCTCTCAGAAAAAAAAGCAAAGAAAAAGGAAAACTATGTCATGGCTTTTCTGACAACCCAATACGGTGTCCAGTAACAATGTAAAGTGAGAGGGTGTGAACCTGCCTTCCCTGCAGGAGCCACTGTGCATCCATATGGAGCTCTGCATAGCTTGGCATTTTTATGGATATCATAAGATCATTTTGTCAATAACACAACACAATCTATAAAAAGAAAAGCTCTAGGGCCAGCAAATGGCATGATGGTTAAGGCACTAGATCTCATATGGCCAACTCCAAGGTTTGAATCCTGGACTTGGCAAAAAAAAAAAAAAAAGAAAGAAAAGAAAAGAAAGAAAAACACCAAGCATGCATGTGTATGTGCGTCCAAAATCCTGAGAGGAGAATGGAGAAGGGACTGCCCAGGCAGGGGGCGGGGTGGTGATTTCTCAATTTCCCTCTCTGGTGAGTGCACATATCCCTTGGCAAAAATCATAGAAAAACAAAGCAAAACAAAAAAAGTGTCTGACTTTCAGCTAAAACTGCTCTTCCTTCTCCCGGGAGTCTTGTCTAAGCACTTCTCACTGCCTCACTGGTTGGACGACACGCTTCTAAGTGTGCGGTCCCTGTGTTAGACTCCCCCCTCCTCAGTGTGCGGTCTCCGTGTTAGACTGCCCCCCCCTCCTTGGTGTGGGTCCCTGTGCTAGACTCCCTCCTCCTCCTCCTCAGTGTGTGACCCCCGTGTTAGACTCCCTCCTCCTCGGTGTGGGTCCCCGTGTTAGACTTCCTCCTCCTCAGGTGTGGGTCCCCGTGTTAGACTCCCCCCTCCTCAGGTGTGGGTCCCTGTGTTAGACTCCCCCCTCCTCAGGTGTGTGGTCTCCGTGTTAGACTCCCTCCTCCTCGGTGTGGGTCCCTGTGTTAGACTCCCTCCTCCTCAGTGTACGGTCCCCATGTTAGACTCCCTCTGACACCCCAACATAGTACTAGGCTCCTGATTCCCAGGAGTAGTTGTTAGGTTTGGGCACTATACACCCAATGGAACTCCCAACTTATCTACTTCACAATACACCATCAGCCATACACCTACCCTGCCCTCCAATAATAAAAAAAAAAAAATAACAAATGACAAATGAGAAGGTCCCTAATTAAAAACAAGATTAAAAAAGTTAGTCATGTTTCAGGTTTACCTTCAGCAGAGCTCGAGCAATTGCAATTCGCTGTTTCTGCCCACCTGAGAAAAACAATATTTTAAAGAGAAAGAGCCTTAAGAAACACTCCCGGTGCCAAGATTTCCCTGGGACTCCTGCTGCTCTACAGCCGGCCTTGCCCACAGCCAGGTCCGCTCTGCACTGCAGCCCGTGGCCCGATCTGTTTCCGGCGTGACCCTCTTCTAGCTACAAACGCTTTTTAGATTTTTAAAGGGTTATTTAAAACAAAAATATGTGACAGAAGTCATATGTGGCCCATAAAACCTACAATATTTACTTTCTGGCTCTTTACAGAAAAAGTGTGTCGAGCCCTGGTTTACTGCGAGAAGTGCCAATGGGGAGGCAAAGTGCACTTCCAGCCCCAGTTCGCTTCGACACATGGGCTCTGCCTCCCTGGGCAGGTCACCCTGTCACCACGACTGTCTTATTTTCTTCAGTTTGGAGGGTCTGGAGTTGCACAACTCTTTTTTCATATCAGAAAAAGCTTACTGTAAAGACTGACACAGACAGGTGCAAAAAATAAATCCTCTTTTGCAACCCAGAACTCATTCTTCAGTATGAGTTTTGATATACATACATATATATCAAAAAATATATGTATATATATATAAAAGAAGGAATATTATTTTTTAAAAAGGGCAAGAGAAAGAAAGCCCTTGCTATGGCGGAGTCCTACTCAGTGAGGTCTTGGGCACACCTTAGGGTAAGGGTGAAGGAACTAGTGAGCGTCCGCAATGGAGATCTGGAAAGTGGGAAAGCTAGTTTCATAAACTTTAAGGACAAAAACTTAATTAGGAAGCAATACTGCAGGGACCAGCAGATGACGTGGAGGCTGGGATGGCTGGATCTCACAAGACTGGCTGTGCAGTTCAAGTCCTGGGTCCTGCAGTTTTCAGCTTGAAAACACGCCGGGTGCATGTGCCTGTGTGCCCAAAATCCCAAGAGGAAAATAGAGAAGGGATTGCAGCATGGCCATCCCCCCCCGGGGGATTTATTACTTTCCTTCTCTCTGACTCTCTCCAGCAAGTGCATGCCCCTATGGCAAAAAGCAAAAACAGACAAACAAAATACACTGCAACGTGGAACTGTCCGCAGGGGTCCCCGGGGCATGAGCTTCCGCTACGAGGCAGTAACGACAACACACCTGAAAGGAGGACACCCTTTTCTCCGACCACTGTGTTGAAGCCTTGGGGGAAGTTCTGAATGAAAGCTGCTGCGTTGGCCACTTCGGCCACTTTGCCCACCTGCTCGACAGTCACTGAAGAAGGGTCATCAGCACCATAAGCGATGTTCTCAGCAATAGAGCAAGAGAACAGGATGGGTTCCTGCAAATCGGAGAGAAAACATACCTGCTGCAAACTTCGACACAGGCTCCAGACAGGCCTGGTGAGGACAGTGGAGCCTGGGACAGTTTATAGCCTAGAAGCTATGGAAGTGCTCTCGAAGATAATTTCCTTAGCTGTGCTTCTTCATTCTTCACAAACTCATCCAGCAGAGTTCTGAAGATTCACGTTACCACACACAGGACTGACCTCATGCTGCAGGACGCGACACGCAGGGCAGCTACCCACATGGCACCTGGCATACAGTAGGAGCTTCAGAAATGTGCACCCTTCCCTCAGGAACTGTGAAGCACGCGGAACCCCAAGTCCATCTGCCTTCCATGAAGGACAGAGGGGGAATTCATCTCCGTCAATTGCTTTTTGAAATACACACAAAGCAGATGGGAAGAGAGCACTCTGACGGGGCCTAAGGAGTAGTCCCCAGAGTCAGCACATGTCCAGCCTCTTCGTCCACACCCACACTGAGCACCCTGTCCCTGCCCCCCTGCCTTCACCCATTGGAGTACGGCATGGGAGGCTCACTGGGCGAGGAGCTCCGAGATGGGAGGAGGCCCAGGCTTGCCCGCTGCACTCCTGGCTGGTGACAGAGATGGCGATGGCAAGATGCCCCGCCCTACATGGTCTGGTGAAAATGGCCTCTTCAAGCCACCACATTACATGAACGTTCCGCTCTGAAATCTGCTGGTCCCTGAAACTCACAAACTGAACGGCTGTAGCTGGGGCTGAAAATGGGGACTGGAGAGGAGCACCTAGAAGCTAACAAGGCGCGAGTAAGAGCTTCTGTCACTTTCTCCCCATGTTCTGGGTCACCTGCCTCGCGAAGTAATGTCAGTCTCCAGCTTTTGAAATCTCTGGGTCCCTGAAACTCACACAAACTGAACGGCTGTAGCTGGGGCTGAAAATGGGGACTGGAGAGGAGCACCTAGAAGCTAACAAGGCGCGAGTAAGAGCTTCTGTCACTTTCTCCCCATGTTCTGGGTCACCTGCCTCGCGAAGTAATGTCAGTCTCCAGCTTTTGGTAAAACGCCAGTGCTTTAACCGGTTGGTGCTTCAGGTGTCCAGGAAACAGTGCGGCTGCAAACCTAAACAGCTTGCCCTGGGAGGTGGGCGGGCTGGTGTGACACATCTAGAAAGCATCCACTCGTTCTCTCTTGAGAAGTTCAAGACCAAGAAAAAGCAATTTCAAAGGCAAGCGAAGTAGAAATGGAAGCCTCTCTTCTTACCTGACTCACTGTTCCAATTTTGGATCTCAGCCAGACTGGATTTAGCTGACGGATGTCATGGCCATCAAGACTGATAGCTCCTGTGGAGAGGGGAGGGTTACAGGGTGTCCCAGGGCACTATCGTAAACACAGAAGGAACCCCTGGGGAAGTTTCAGACTCAGCTGTCTAAAGACTGAAAATATAACCAAAATAGCCAGATGGAATTTAAAAATAAGATATCTTATGGAATTTCTCAGTTGAAAAGGGCTTTTTTTATTTTTTATTTATTTTTTATTTTTTTTATTTTTGAGAGGTTTTTGCTATAGGGCGCATGCGCTTGCCAGACAGACAGAGAGAGATATAGAGACAGAAAACGAGAAATCACCCCCCGGGGGGATGGTCACATCACAATCCCTTCTCCTCCATTCTCCTCTCGGGATCTTGGGCACGCACGCAAACGCGCCTGGCATGAGTTCTAAGCCATTGGGTCTGGGATGTGAACCATGGTCGACTACATGGGAATCCAGCGAAACAGTCATTACGCTAACTGCTGGTTCCCAAGGGCTTTTTAAAAAAGAATTATTTTATTTTAACTTTGTTTATTTATTTAATTTTGACCAGGGAGAGAGAGAGACAGAGACAGAGAGAGAGAAAGTGAGAAAGCAAGTCACCAGATCCAGGACTTGAACCATGGATGGCCATGTGGGAGTCCAGCAGCCTCAACCATCATGCCACCACTGAGTCTGCTGTCCTCATGCCATGGTTAATGGCCACCATCCAGTCCATAGCCTGTGTCCTGCACCCCAGAGCTCATAGGGGGTCTCCTCTGACTCAGGATTCTACCAAAAGATGCACTGTGCAAAGCCTGGATTCTGAGGAGAACGTGGGGTGGGGGGCAAGCCGTGAGGTGGTACAGACACAGCACAGGGGGCACCATCGTCCTGGAACCAGGCCCCAGGATGGCAGCTGCATAGCTCTGCAGCTTCTGTCCACGCCAATGTCTGCGGCACTTTGAAGGCCTGATCTGAGTGAAGCCTGGAAAGTGTCCTGAAGTTGAACTGGAATCAATTTTGTCAACCCTGCCATTGTATTTAAGCTCTTTTATCATTCCTTAAATATTTCTTTCTGGGACTAGCAGTTAGCGTAATGGCTATGTCACTGGACTCCCATGCAGTCAACCGCAGTCCGAGTCCCGGATCTGGTGGCTTAAACTCACACTGGGCGCATGTGTGTGCGTGCCCAAGATCCCGAGAAGAGAATGGAGGATAAGAGATTGGGGCATAGCCAAACCTCTCAAAAAAAAAAAAAAAGTGTCTAAATAAAGCTGTTGCCTCATTTCTAGAGGTAACAGCTTTAAAAAAAGAAAGAAAGGGAGAAAGGAAGGAAGGAAGGAAGGAAGGAAGGAAGGAAGGAAGGCAGGCAGGCAGGCAGGCAGGCAAAGACAAGACAAAACAAGACAGAAAAGCCCTGCTGAGGTTGGCAGGTGGTACAGAAGTTAAGGCACTGAACTCACACATGCCCAATCACTGTTCACGTCCTGGACCTGACAGCTTGCTTTCTCACTTTCCCTCTCTGTTTCTGTCTCTCTGGTCAAATTGAAAATAAAATAAATAAAATAAAATAAATAATTAATACAATTGAATAAATAATTCTTTTTAAAAAGAAAGAAAGAGAATCCCTATTAACTCAGAAGAGTGTCAATGGGCAGTTCCACAGACCGGACTCCCTGAGTGCCAAATGTAGCTGTGGATGCAGTGGGGCCTTCCAGGTGCTTCTCTGGGCACACCGGCTGGCACAGGGTGGTGCTGCAGGGCCCTGCCCCTGGGTAGGGGTGTTCAGAGGGACATGGGTGCCCCTCAGCTAGCAGGGCTTAGACTTGTCCACCTGCTCCCAAGAGGAGCATGCTGGGAGGAGACACCAGGATGGGCGGTGGGGTGGGATTCAGGAAGTCACTGTGACTTGAAGAGACAGGACAGAAAACATACGACATGCCTGATGGGCGTGAGCTGTCACACCCTGACAAATGCCTTCTGTTTGAGGAATTTCTTCCCAGGAGCACACCCACTGCTGTTGGCGCTGTCAGGCTGGAAGGTGCCTGCATGGTCCAACCCAGTTCCAGGCTCGGAAGCAGGAGTAAAAGGAGGGCCCGGGGAAGGCCCTGCCCTACAGGATGTGAACCACTCACCAGAAACGGGGTCGTACAGCCTCAGCAGCAGCGAAACCACTGTTGATTTGCCAGACCCACTTGGGCCAACCAGCGCCGTGACAGATCCTGATGGAATGGAGAGGCTGAAATCCTGAAATATGGGTACCTCCGGGCGAGCTGGATAGGTGAAATGCACGTTCTTAAACTCCAGGGCGCCTCGGAAGCTTTTCTCATTTAAAATGGTGCCCTCTGAAACGGAAGAAGGAACACTAATTACACAAAGCCCCGAGAGCTCCCCGCGAACTCGGCCTCCTGCACGTCTGACTATGGAAGATGGGGATGGTCCCTGCAGTTTTCAGGGGAGCCTTAGAAGGCAAGTCTGGCCGCGCACCCTCGATTCTGGCTGAGCTCGCCCCGTGCCTCCTCGGCACAAGGTACTGCCCAGACACGGTCTCACTGGGCCTTACAACCCCAACACCTAGAAACTGAGATCCCAGTTTTCCTGGTGAGGTCAGTGAGGACCACAGGGGGCCAAGATCCATCCTCGGGCAGTCTGGTTCAGACAGCACCCTCCCTGGGCCACTGCCTCTGTCCTGTGCCTTTGGTCTGGAGCTTATCTTCTCTGCCCAGAGAAACAATCTGAAGGCTTGGTGATGAACGGGAACACCATACGACAGCCTGGGCTGGTCATGGGTGGGACTCGGAGGTCTGGCCCTCGCCAGTGTTAACCTGCGGTTGCCTTGGAACGCTGCTGGCCTCCCAGGTGGCTTCATGCCTACAGCTGCTCATTGTGGAGAAGAACACTGGGCTGTCACTATTGACTGGGGCTGCCCGGCAACGTCCTGGGGCTGTAGGGGCTGAGGGAGGCGCTCCTCACAGCGATGCCCTGTATCTCCAGGGAAGCCAGTTACAAGAGCGAAGGTGGCGGCAGACAACTGGCACCAGCACCCCCACCCAGAAATACCAGGAAGTTTAGAGGTTTTTGATATGTTTACCCCTTCCTCCACCCAGCGCCCACGCAGATGTCAGAACCATAGGAAGACCTATCTGGTGGACAGAACCACGGGAAGACCTATCTGGTGGACAGAACCACGGGAAGACCTATCCGGTGGACAGAACCACGGGAAGACCTATCCGGTGGACAGAACCACGGGAAGACCTATCCGGTGGACAGAACCACGGGAAGACCTATCTGGTGGACAGAACCACGGAAAGACCTATCTGGTGGACTGGCTGGACCTTCCTATTCATGTCATGGGGGCACCATCTTCTATGCCGCCATGGGCGGTGACTGTCAGCTGCAGGGAGGTGAGTGGTGGGGGTGGGGGTGGGGGGTGGCACACTCTGCTGTCACCCCCACCTGTGGCCTGGGAGTGACCCAGCAGCCATTCTTCCTCACTCTTATCTCATGAGAAACCGGCCCCTTCCCTGTGAGCAGCAGGGACTCTGTCCTTAGGTTCGGCCTTCACGGGCAGCGCAGAGAGGTGGCCTAAGGCCCAAAGCCATGTATGTTTAAGCCCACGTCAGACCTACCGTTAAAAGGCAGCTCGGGTTTTCTCTCCAGGAGTTCCCAGAGGCGCCCCCCAGCACCCAGGCCTTTCATCAGCTCCGAGTAAAAAGAGCTCAGACCTGAGGACAGAAGCAGAGTCCACACTCAGACCATCACCTGGACAGGGCGAGGGCCCATGCTCAGACCACCACCGGGACCGAGGGCGGGCCCATGCTCGGACCACCACCGGGACCGAGGGGGGTGCCCACGCTCGGACCATCACCCGCACCAGGAACCTGTCACAGCTCCTTCCAGTCCTCTGGGAGTAGGGATGATAACCTGCTTCTAATATAAAACTTGCAGCTTAAAAAGGGATTTGAGACAGCTGCCTAGAAATCGGTATTCAGAATTCTGTCCGTCTCACACCCTCGCTTTCCTTCGGCTTCTCCCCCTTCGATTTCAGTGATTTCTAATAAGGGGTAGTCCTTGATCACAGGATTTATAAATACATTTAGTTCTATTAATCAACTAGTCAATTAGAATCACAATGCTACAGAAGATGTCTTAACTAGACAAAAACAGCAATATAAGCAAGATACAATGTTTATCTTAAAATACCTAAACATTTATTTTAAAGACAAATCCACAGAATCAAACTTCCTCTTCAGGTACTCAATGAATATAAAGTTCACATAAGCTAAAAATGATGAGGAATTTGGTAAACAGTAAATATTCTAGCAATTTCTCTTTTACCAGTTTATTTTTAAAGAATTATGTATTTTATTTTATTTTATTTATTCATTCATTTATTTTAATTTGACCAGAGAGAGACATGCACAGAGAGAGAGGGAAAGTGAGAAAGCAAGCCATCAAGTCTGGGACTCGAACCATAGTTGGCCATGTAGGGATGTCCAGAGTCTTACCCATCATGACACCTGCTGATCCCACTAGTTTATTTTTATTTTATTTCTTCCATGACACACAGAGGGGGAGGGAGAGAGAGAGACAGGCATACCCAACAGGGTCCTCATGCTACCATCCACCATGACACACAGAGGGAGAGGGAGAGAGAGAGACAGGCATACCCAACAGGGTCCTCATGCTACCATCCACCCTAGCCTCAACAGCTCAGACCATGGACATGCATGCGGTGTGCACAGGGAGCTCACTGGGTCCCTCGTAGGTGCAGCGTCATGGCTCACTGCAGGGCTATTGCACACTGGCCAGCCCCAGGGATCCACTCATCTTCCTTCCTTCCTCCCTTACTCCCTTCCTTCCTTCCTTTTCTTGGCCAGAGGGCACAAGCACTTGCCAGAAAGACAAAGAGGGAAGGAAAGGACATACCCCCTGCAGTGGGGTGTGTCCTGCCACGCCCGGTCTTCCTGAACTGGTCCTCTCACTTCCCAGTTCATTTGGCACCCCAGCCATCTTTATCTGGCTTTTCTTCAAGACCATCAAGCAGAACTAAAATGCTACTTTGGAGTCTCTGCAAATCTCCGTCCACAAAATACCCTCACATGCCTGTAGAAGTCTAAGGGAAAGCCTCTAGCCTCAACAATTAGACACAAAGCCCTGGAACAAAACTCTGGCTCGTCAGATACCTGTTCATTAAACCGCAAGCTGTCTCCCTATTCTTTCCATCTTATTATTTTTAAATTATTTTAAAGTTTATAATTATTATTTCAGTTTGCTGTAGGGCATGTGTGTTCAGTACTGAGAGAGAGAAGATGAGAAAGAAAACCAGTAGGTCCAGGACTTGAACTGCACTCAGCCATGTGGGAGGCTGGCACCTTAACCACCATGCCATCTTATTTTTCAAAGACAGTAAGGAAAACGAAGGGCAGAAAATCATTTGCCCCTGCTGTCTGGGGACCTAGGAAAGGTACAGAAAATAGTCACAAAGAAGTGACCTCACAGACCTCACCCAGCTCTGGCTTCCCAGTCTGGGATTGCCTTTATCGGTAACAGACAGTGAACACCAAATGCTGACAGTCTTGACAAAACCAGACACCCTGTTTGGCACTTTGTAACCTACCGCTTGGATTGTTTGTTCTCTCTGAGTACTCGTGACTTTGTATAAGAGGAATTGCATTCCTGGTGACTTGCCAGTCATGAAGCTACCCCTCTCCTGGCTCTGTGGGCTTCCCTGTCCACACCTGCTCCCTCCTCCCTGTATCTGTGAAGAGGGGAGCAAGCTGCGGACCACGCAGGCTGGGAACGGCTGTGCCGGAGCAAGGCCGAGCTCTGTGAGGGCTGCGTGGACTCTGAACCTCCAGATCCAGGGGCTGCCCACCCACGTGGGAGGGCCATCGTCACAACTTTCTTTCTTTTGAAAAGCCCAGTTGGAACAATGTCCTAGGAGACGTTTTTCCAGTCACAGTTCATTGACGAGAAGTAGAGCAAAATGAGAGTCCATGGAAGTCTGTATTTCAAAGGACCAGCAGGTAGTGTGGCAGTTAAAGCGCTAGACTCTTCCATGGCTGACTGATGTTCGAGCCTCAGACCTGGCAGCTTGAAAATCATGCTGGGCATGTGTGTGTGTGTACCCAAAATCCCAGGAGAAGAATGGGGGAGGAGGGACTGCAGAGTGGCCATCCTCCTGGGGAGTGATTCTCACTTTTCCTCTCTCTGTCTCTTAATGTCTCTCTCCAGTGAGTGCATGCACCCATGGCAAAAGCCTAAAAAAAAAAAAAATTTTTTTTTAAATCAGGATTTCAGAAATGATACCCTGACTTTTAATTTGCACCTCCCTGAATCTTGTGAAGGACATACCTCCAATGCTCACTCCAACCCAGAAAGCATACATCAGGAAGGAAGAGAGCTCGCCCACCGTCATGTGGGCACTGCCCATCAGCAGCCCCCCTTTGTACAGGACAGAAAGCACAATCAGGTTCCCGGACAGCCCCGTCTGTTGAAAGAAAACAGAGAAGTCACGTGGGGGCCAAACCCAGAATGCGAAGGGTATCAACATGGCTGACAATTTCCTGTCTGCATTTAATTAGCACAAGATTCTTCCCAGTATTTACATCTCACCTGAAGTCCAAGTAAAATCCCCACCAAGGGCTGGCCTAGTCCCTATTGGTTAAGGGAGCCAGATCCCACACAGCTGACTGTGGTTTGAATCTCAGCCCTGGCATTGTGTGTGTGTGTGTGTGTGTGTGTCTGCACGCATGAGCACGTGTGTGCATCCAAAATCCTGACAGGATGGAGAAATGGAGAAGGGATTGTGACATGACTATACCCTACTGTGGGGTGCTTTGTCCCTCTCTCTGTCTCTTTGGCAAGTGCACACCCTCAAGTCCTTCAGAAATACTGCAATAATGGAGCCAGGAAATGGCATACAGTTAGGCTGCTGGACTCCCACGTGGCCAACCATGGTTCAAGTCCCAGATCCAATGGTTTGAAACTTAGGCCAGGCACATGTGCATGCATGTCCAAGATCCCAGGAGGAGAATGGAGAAGGGATTGTGGTGTGGCCATCCCCCCTGGGGGGCGGGGTAATTTCTTACTTTCCTTCTCACTGTCTCTGTCTCTCTCCTCCCTCACCCTCGTAAGTGTACATGCCCTACAGCAAAAACCTATAAAAAAAAAACTGTAACAATGAAGGAAATAATCTCATCACCAGTAAAATCTAGAAGCTAAATCACTTATCGAATTCCTATTTTAGTCAATCTATTCAGCTTGCAAAAGGAAAAAAATATTAAAGATTCCCTCCCTAAGTAGAGGAAATGGAGAGACATCTGTGGCATGTCTGTGTATTCTATGACAAGTCCAGAGTGAGGACACTGGGTTCGCGCTAGAGTCCTGCATCTAGACCTGCTCTGACTTGTCAGGCCTGGTCTGTGGTAAGGGCCACTGTTCCCTGTCTGGGAATCACGGCCATGACTGCATCACTCTAAGGTCCTCTCCAGTACAAACGGACCAACATATGGCGTAATGATTATGCTGCTGGACTCCCATGTGGTTGACTGAGGTTCAAGTCCCCGACCCAGTAACTTAAAACTCATACTGGGCATGTGTTCATGCAAGCCCAAGATCCTGAAAGGTGACTGGAGGAGAAGGGGTTGCAGCGTGGCCATCCCCGCAAAGAGCGATTTCTCACTTTCTGTCTCTCTGTCTCCCTGGTGAGCACATGTGCCCTATACCAAAAATTTCTAAAAAAAAAAAAAAATCCCCACAAAACCCACAAATTGCAAGCCAGCGGGTAGTGCAGAAATTAAGGTAGGCAGCTTGATTCCGCACAGGCAACTATGTGGTTTGAGTCCCAGACACGATGGTTTGAAAAATCATACCAGGCATGTCCATGTGCATGCTCAAAATCCCATGAGGAGAATGGAAGAGAAGGGACTGCGGTATGGCCAGCACCCTGGTGTGGGGAAGGTTCCCTCTCTGTGTCTCTCCCTCTCCGTCTCCCTCTCTCTGACTCTCTCTCAAGCAAACACATACACCCTACAGCTTAAGAAAAAGAAACAAAACAAAACAACAAGAGTGAACTCCAACAGTGGCCCCGCCCCCGCCCGCTGAGTCCGACAGGTCTGGGGTGCAGTGAGAACAGCAGGGTAGCCGGCTCCCCAGACAGCTGCCGCAGGTCCTGCCGCACTGAGTCAGGGCCTGACCTCACGCATGCTCACTTTATCTAACTCCTCTATGTGCTTTCCTCCTTTTTCACGAAAATATTCTAAAGAAAATCATTCTCTATCTTCAAGTAGAATACAACTATTTCCTATTTATGGCAAGAGCCACACAATAAAAATCTCTCAGAATCATAAGAGCTAACTCACTCTTTCCACAGTGATTCACTTACTGCTCCGAAGAAGCCGGCCCGAGCGAACGCCTCTTTTCTTGCTAACTGCATCACGTCGCCCACTTTGCTGGTGTATTTATCTATTTCAGTCATTTCTTTCCCGAAAGCTCGCACGGTTCTTATATTTCCAATCCGTTCCTCAGCTAGCTGGGAGAACAATAAATGCATTTCAGGGGGGAGAGGGCTACATTTGAAAAATTCCCTGATATGGAGTTAAAACGCAGTCCATTTTTAAGGCACTATAGAGGGAAAGCTGCTGGAGACATAACAATGTGTAAAAACAAAGCAAACCAGGAGCAGAGCACAGGGTACTGGACAATCCTATTTTTGGAAGAAAACTATCCACGCACATCATACACAGACAAGAAGAAAAACAGATGACTAGATAGATGCAGAACTTTATTTTTATACAGAGAAAAAAAAGACTCCAAAACATTAACATTAATTCTAAGAGTATTTTTTCAAAATTTTCAATGATAAACAGGCATGGTTCTATAACCTGAAAATGTTAATTCCTAAAAAAATGGTTTTGCATAGCCTTTTAAAGGTGATTTCATTACATTAATGAAGGATTCTGCATTCACCCAGAAACTAGTTTCAACATGGGACCAGTAGGTGGCATGGTGGTTAAAGGGTCTGGACTCCCACATAACCAACTGTGGTTCGAGTCCCAGATTCAGTGGCTTGAAAAAAATCACTCTGGGCACAAATACATGCATGCCCAGAATCCCGAGAGGAGAGCAGAGGAGAAGGGACTGCAGTGAGGTCATCCCCTCTCTGTCTCTCTGGCAAGTGCATGGGCCCTATGCAAAAACCTAAGAAAACAAACATGATTAGCTTTTGTGCCCCGTAACTAACAGCGATGGCAGGAAGTGAGATGCTCATTGGTCAAGCTGGGTCTGTAACCAACAGCGATGGCAGGAAGTGAGATGCTCATTGGTCAAGCTGGGATAGGGAGAAACCTTGTCTAAAAGGCAGAGTAGGCAGCAGGGTGGTGCGAGCGAGACGTGCTGCTTACATGATGCTGGACCCACAAGGAAGAGTGTGAGCCTGGCCCCCTCAGCCTGCATGCATAGGGCACACACATGCTCACGCTGGCCCTGGCTGGCTGGGAAGGCTGGGGGTGAGGGTCGGGGGCAGAAACCACAGTATGAAACCCTGTTGAAGGTGCTTGTCTCTCTCTCTCATGAAAGAAGTAAATAAACTTGAAAAAAGAGAGAGAAAGAGACAGAGAGAGTAGTTCAGGTCTGGGGGATCATGGGGTCTGACGCAAGGAAAGGAAGAGAACTTGCTGAGAGGCCTACGCACGTCCCTGAGGGTCTGCCCTTAGCACCGTGGCTCAGAGCTCCTTCCGCTGGAGCCTCGAAGCCAGGGAGAGGCCTTTACCTGAGTGGCTTGTGCCAGGGAATCCTGTGTGACTTTGGTCAGTTTCCGTAGATAGCGTCCATAAATCACAGCAAGGATGGACATTGGAGGCACCACACTCAAAACGAAGGTGGCCAGATTAGGTGAGACAAAAAACTATCAGAAACAAAGAGGCAAGAGGCATTTGTTACAAACAGTGGCAGGACATCCTCATCCTGATGCAGGGTGTGTGTGCACATTCGTGTGCGAGCATGTGTGTGAGAGACAGAGAATCAGTAGCAGACTAGAAAGTGCTATCTCCAAGTTGCACATGTTTTTTGGTAGAATTTTGCAGACGTCTTTAATTTCCATAAACCCCGTGAAACCATCCAGAAGTAACATGGCAGACATGTTTTATCCTGACTAATACTGTGTATATTAGACTGTGATGTTCAATAACAGGGAGGGAGGAGACAGGATAGGAGGCCACAGGGAGCCCCGTCTGCTCCCCACTAACAGGGTCACACCCAGCATCTGCATCCATGCCGCTGGCATGGTAGTTAAGGTGGCTGGTCCCTCATGGCCAACTGTGCAGCTGAACCTTGGACCTGGTAGCCTGAGAAACACACTGGGTGCATGTTTGTGTGTACCCCAAATCCTGAGAGGAGGATGGAGAAGGGACTGTGGCATGGTCATTCCTCCAGGGAAATGTCTTTTGGTTTTTAAAAAAGTAAATAAGGGGCTAGCAGGAGGCGTGGAAGTGAAGGCACTGGATTCCCACATGGGCGACCATGGTTCAAATTCTAGACCTGGCAGCTTGCTTTCTCACTTTCTTTCTCTTTCTCTGGTCAAACTGAAAAATGATAATAATAAATAAAATTAAATAAAATAATTCTGTTTAAAAAACATAAACAAGTAACAATTAAATAAAGGTGGCCACAAGAGGACCAGAGCATTAAACTCTCAGATGTGAGCTGTGTTGCGTTTCTCCCAGCCAGCAGCCCGGTCTGAGCAGACGGCGTGTAAACGAGCGAGGCAGGCACAGGCCACAGGCTCGAGCCCTCTGTAAGGGCAGAAAACAGGCCAAGAGGGAGGGCGCTCCTCTGCGGGACCACAGCTCTCCCAGTGGCAGGACGGCTTTGTGCACTCGGGGCACCCCGGGCTCCTTCCGCCCAGTGCTCTTTTCTGCCTTCATAGCCCGAGTTCACACGTTCTCAAAAACCCAACTGCAATGCGAGAGTCCATCTTCCAGGTAATTCGCTCTGGGGAAAAGGTGCAGGAGGCTACATGGGAGGAAGCGATCCCTGCAGTGTCCAGGACAGTGCCCGGCCACGTGTGACAGAATACAAGGGTGATGGCCTGGGGCTCCCCTCAGCCTGCAAGTGACCAAGGGTGGCTGACCTACCATCATGCCGATGCCCACAGCAGCCTGGGCACCAGCCCGGAGCCCATCCGAGAGGTTCTCCGTCACCGAGCGCCCCAGGAGTGCAGCGTCTGAGGACAGGCGGTTGAGCAACTCTCCTGTGCGAGTCTTGTCAAAGAACGCGACCTCCTGCCTCAGGACCGAGGAGAATAAGGAAACTCTCAGCCTGTTCACGATGCGCTGACCTGCGAGAGCAAGCAGGGCAGCTTCACCTCGGGGACAGCTGGGCACCGCCATTCAGGGGTGGCCACCTGACACACAGCAGCTTGGCCTGGAGAACGGCTCTCCTGAGGGCAGCCTCTGAGCACGTCCACTGTGCCGTGTCCCACCCACGGGGACAGACCTACCCCAGCCCCAGAGTACTAAGTCACACATCAGCAAGGAACGTGTGCTTTCTCTTAGTAAGCAGAGACCGTGAGATACCGTGGTAACGTCAGTACGTGACTGAGAGCTTTCTAAGAGTATCGTTTAAAAGAAGGGTGACTATTAACTTCCGAAGACTGACTATTCTTCTGACAACCCTTTCCTATACCAAACCGTCAGATGGCAAGAGCTGGTTAATCATCCACCAGGCGGCGGGGAGCAATGGCCTTGGAGCTGGCGTCCCGGGCTCTGTGACCCCCTGGCGGGGACCTACGGCTAACACCAGGCCTCTCTGTGGAAACGCTGGGAAAGCTGTCACCCCGGCCCTGCTAACGAGGAGACAGGCGCACGCCCGGTGCCGTTCTCCAACCTGCCGGGAGCCTGACGCGGCCACCCTGCTCAGCTCCAAGAGGGGTAAGGACAGTGGAGAAGAGAGCGCTTGACCCACGAACACCCATGGCTCCAACAGCGGACCAGGCACGAGGACCTGCCCCACGGGACATGCCACCGGGAGGAGGCGGCACTGCGGCCTGGGGCCCACTACATCTGAGGCCAGACCAAGCCTGTGGGTTCCCCCATGCTCCCCCGAGGCGAGGGGCCCTCACCTGAAGTCTGCATGAGGTAGACACGGATGGCGTTGGCGGCGGCACCACACAGAAACACGCCGCTGAGCCCGAGGCAGAGGGGGGTCAGGTGGTCGCCGTAGTCCACCGTGGGGTCGGTGTAGATGACATCGATGATCTTCCCCAGGAAGAAAGGGGCGGACATGGTGATGACACTGGACACAGCCAGAAACCCAACCGCGGCTGGAAGACACGGGCACACGCTCACTCGCGGGGCGCTGGCACGGTCAGTGTCATGTGGCTGCCAGGAGCTTCCTCCTGGACCACCAACCTAGGAGGGACCAGCCCAGGAGAGGACAAGCAGCTGACCACGTGGGCGCCAAGGTCATCCTTGCACTGCAGAAGACGACTTTTTGGTCTGGTCGTCTCGTCCTCAGTAGGCAGGACTGAGAGCCAGCAAGGGAGATCTCCCGGCCTCTTCCCTGCCTTCATCCCTGGTCACATTGCCTGTGTCCGTGCTCTGCGCTGTCAAACCTTAGCCCCGACTGTACCTTGAAGACCCTGAGGTCAAACTAGCTGGGTAAGCTCTTGATTGTATCTACATAAGCTTTGGAAACCAGCGTCAGGGATCCATTACGTGTGTGTTATGTTTCTTCTTAATATCACCCCTTTGAGAATTAAGGCACTGGAATATCAGCATGATATGAAAATAAGAACACCACTACTGTTCATGCATCTAAAAACAAGGGATAGAGTCTTATCAGAAAATATCAAGAAAATTCAATTAGAAACAACATACGTCACAGGTAACTGCATTCATAAAGGGAAGGGAATGTATGTATGTATGTATGTATGTATGTGTGTGTGTATGTTTTAAAGAGAGGTTTTTGCTATAGGGTGCAAGCGTTCACCAGAAAGAGAGAGACAGAGAGACAGAGAGCAAGAAATCACCCCCAGGAGAAATGGCCACCCCACAATCCCTTCTCCTCAGGATCTGGGGCACGCACGCACATGTGCCCGGTATGAGTTTAAGCCCCGGGGTCGAGTACTCGAACCGCAGTCGACTACATGGGAGTCCAGCCACGTAGCCATTACACCATCTGCTGGTCCCAGAGGAATGCAAATTTAAACTACAAAGATACCTGATTTCATATCTATTAAATTGGCAAAGATCAGGCAGTTTGATAACAAATTCATGGGAATACACACTGGCATAGCTTCAATGGAGAGCAACTTGGCCGTCAGTCAGAACATACACGTACTTCCTTTATTTTAGGCGGGGTCTTGCCATGCCGCATCCCTCCTGCTTTGGCTTCTCAAGCAGCTGGGACTACAGGAGCCCACAAGCACACCTGGCTTTTAGGGGAGACGGGAATCAAACCTGGGCCTCCCATGTGGCCTTAGACCACTGAGAGCAATGTTAACAAACCCCCACTACCACGACTGGGTCAGACAATCCCTTCGCTCTAGCAATGTCACCTCTAAGGACTGAACTTACACTCCTGTGTACGCAAAATACACGGAGCCCAATACGTTCATTGCCACATTGCTTTTACCAGTAGAAGAATCAAAGCATCCGACATCATCAATGGAGGACAAGCTGAGTTAATTATGCAGTGTTTATTTTATAAATACCATGCAGTCATTAAAAAGGAGGGAGACCAGCAGATGGCATAATGGTTACATCGCTGCACTCCCACATGGTTGACCGTGGTTTCAGTCCTGGACCCGGTGGCTCATGCCAGGTGCAGAACCAGCAGGTGGCATAGTGGTTAAGGGGCTGGACTCCCACATGGTCAACCGTGGTTCAAGTCCTAGACTTGGCAGCTTGAAAATCATGCTGGGCGCATGTGTACGTGTGCCAAAATCCTAAGAGGAGAATGGAGGAGAAGGAACTGTGGTATGGTCATCCCCCCCCCGGGGGGGGAATCTCCCTTTCCCTCTCTCTGTCTCTGACTGTCTCTCCAGCTGGTACATGCACCCTATAGTAAAAAAATATCCTTCTCTCTCTCTAAAACAAAACAAAACAAAACAAAACAAACAAACAAACAAAAACAAGAAAACTCTCGCCAGTCATGTGTGTGTGTCCCCCAAAATCCTGAGAGGAGAAGGGGATTGCTGTGTGGTCTCCCCAACCCGGAACAAAAACATAGGAGATCTCTAGGGTGCCAGATAGTGGCAGGGCAGTAAAATACAATGCCCTGCAAGGCTGGCCCACAGGAGAGGCCCCGAGTCTATGCCATGGACCTCCCTGAGTATGCTAGGCTCTCTGGGATGGGCATGGATCTGGCATCAAGACCTGTTAGAGCTGCTGTCTCACTCTCTCCTTCAGGGAATAAAGGAAGAGAGAACTTTTCAGAGAACGAGGTGACACTATAGATATGGATGAGGACTACTCTACCAAGATATGCTACTAGCAAGACAAGTCTGTGACACAAATGTTCATTTGGGGGCCTTTTTTGCCCATTGGTTTTCCAAATTTACACAGGCACAAAACTTTCTAGAAGAGCAGCAACAAACAGGTAGCATGGGTTCCTTCTAAGAGTGTATTGGGTGAGTAGGGGGTGGCGGCCAGGAGGCTTCCTTTCCACTGGGTCCCACTTGAGTACTATGGGCATATGGTACTGATAAGACGCCTGTTTGGAACCTGGCAGGTCTGGCTGACACAGAGCCCTGGGCGAAGCTCCCAGGTGGACATACCTGGACGCAGCCCTGGGTGAAGGGACTTCTCCACACTCTGCGAATAGCAGGTGCATCTGTGCTGTTGCTAATGCTAATGCCGTAGGTAAACGTATCATTTTGTCTGCCTTCTAACCCTCATAAACCAGTAGCACAAACTCAGTTCCTGTGGCTGTCTAGCTGACAGACAGCTCTGGACATGTGAGCCTTTTACATTAAAAACATTTTGGATAATCACTCTCACCTGGCCTTAAAATCTTCATGCTAGGGACCAGCAGTTGGCCTAATGGCTATGTCACTGGACTCCCATGTAGTCAACCATGGTTTGAGTCCCAGATCCCGTGGCTTAAGCTCACACCAGGCACGTGTGTGTGCATGCCCAAGATCCTGAGAGGAGAAGGGATTGCAGCGTGGCCATCCCCTCTGGGGGGTGATTTCTCTCTCTCTAAAACAAAACAAAACAAAACAAAACAAACAAACAAACAAAAACAAGAAAACTCTCGCCAGTCATGTGTGTGTGTCCCCCAAAATCCTGAGAGGAGAAGGGGATTGCTGTGTGGTCTCCCCAACCCGGAACAAAAACATAGGAGATCTCTAGGGTGCCAGATAGTGGTAGGGCAGTAAAATACAATGCCCTGCAAGGCTGGCCCACAGGAGAGGCCCCGAGTCTAAGACATGGACCTCCCTGAGTATGCTAGGCTCTCTGGGATGGGCATGGATCTGGCATCAAGACCTGTTAGAGCTGCTGTCTCACTCTCTCCTTCAGGGAATAAAGGAAGAGAGAACTTTTCAGAGAACGAGGTGACACTATAGATATGGATGAGGACTACTCTACCAAGATATGCTACTAGCAAGACAAGTCTGTGACACAAATGTTCATTTGGGGGCCTTTTTTGCCCATTGGTTTTCCAAATTTACACAGGCACAAAACTTTCTAGAAGAGCAGCAACAAACAGGTAGCATGGGTTCCTTCTAAGAGTGTATTGGGTGAGTAGGGGGTGGCGGCCAGGAGGCTTCCTTTCCACTGGGTCCCACTTGAGTACTATGGGCATATGGTACTGATAAGACGCCTGTTTGGAACCTGGCAGGTCTGGCTGACACAGAGCCCTGGGCGAAGCTCCCAGGTGGACATACCTGGACGCAGCCCTGGGTGAAGGGACTTCTCCACACTCTGCGAATAGCAGGTGCATCTGTGCTGTTGCTAATGCTAATGCCGTAGGTAAACGTATCATTTTGTCTGCCTTCTAACCCTCATAAACCAGTAGCACAAACTCAGTTCCTGTGGCTGTCTAGCTGACAGACAGCTCTGGACATGTGAGCCTTTTACATTAAAAACATTTTGGATAATCACTCTCACCTGGCCTTAAAATCTTCATGCTAGGGACCAGCAGTTGGCCTAATGGCTATGTCACTGGACTCCCATGTAGTCAACCATGGTTTGAGTCCCAGATCCCGTGGCTTAAGCTCACACCAGGCACGTGTGTGTGCATGCCCAAGATCCTGAGAGGAGAAGGGATTGCAGCGTGGCCATCCCCTCTGGGGGGTGATTTCTCGCTTTTCTGTCTTTCTGGTGAGAGCACGCACCCTATAGCAAAAACCTCTCCAAAAAAAGAAAAAAAGAAATCTTCATTCTAATCTGCTCTCCCCAGGGAGAGTCAGCTCTGAGCACCTCGGTGCATCTAGACAGACCAACCAGCCTGCCGGCATGCTCAATGCTTCACTTGGTTACTGTCTACCTCCCCACCAGGACATGAAATGCTTTGGAACTTCTCATTTTAGAAATAAGCCCCTGGGGTGATGGCCATGTAAGATCTCTTCTGGGATTTTTTGGGGGGCACGTGTGCACATGCACCCAGCCTAGTCCCCAAGCCACCAGTTCTAGGACTCAAACCATGAAGCTGGTCATGTGAGAGCCAGCCTCCTCCATCCCCACGCCACCTGCTGGCCCCAGACTTTGGAATGTTTTGTTGACTGCTGTACTGCCACAGTGAACAGCATACATGCCTACACCGACCGGCATATGTGAAAGACACAATATCTGCTGAATGAATGAGTGGAACTTTGACCAGGGATCCGTGTGACCTAGTAGAGCAGCGGGGAAAACGCGGTGAGAGGGCCTGGAGGTGGTCTTAAGAACCAGGGGATTGGGCGCTCTGCCTTCCAGCTGGCTGACCGCGCGTGAGTCTTCCACTTCACTGTGTCCTTTTCTCCATCTGTAAAACGGCAATACGAACGATACAGCCTGCATGGCCTCGCTGTAAGTCAGATGCAGGGAAAGCACCTGGCCCAGCACCCAGAACCTGTGAACAAGGAACTTCAGCAGTCCTTGACTTGCTGCTGTCGCTGTGAGGATGACACGTGCCTCTAGCCTGGGCCTAGGGGTTCACACGGGGATCCCTAGCTAGATGAAGGACAGACAGGAAAGGCAGGTTCATGAAGGAAGGAGCAGGTGTGTGCTGTGGAATGCAAGAGTGGGGGCGGGAGCTGGAGGCCAAGTGGAGGGACCAGCCAGGCAGGGAAGGGTGTGCAGACACTGGAGCTGACAGGAGGGGCAGACGCAGAGAACGAAGTCCTTACACAGGGCTCAGAACAAACACCTGAGCAGCGTCTACTGCAAAGCCAGGCTGACTGCGCCCACACCTCTGGAGTGCCCCACAGAGCAGCCCGCCTGCCCCACAGCCACAGGGGCACTGGACGCTGGGTGAGGGAGCAGACGAGTCCTGACCACAGTCTAAGTAGGGGCCTGCCAGGGACAAGGGCCACCTCACAGAGACCATCAGGCATCACTGACCTCAGACGCCTGAAGGGCCCTGTTACTCCTGAGCTCCCCCCTCCCCGGCTCACCGGGGCAGAGGACCTCAGTGCCCCCTCTATCAGTCACATAGCAAGGGGCTCCTGAGGCGAAGCGGGCTGCTTATGCCATCAGTCCACGCCCAGCTCCTTCCAGCTCCCGCATCTTTTAGGGCTCTTCTGGCCAAAGTGATAAGAAGAGTTGTTATCGGTGGGAAGGACTCTGGGACAGCCATGGCCGCAGCAGATAGCTGCACATTGCTGCGTGGAGTGAGAAGGGGAGGGCTGGAGATCAGAGGACGGCGGTCAGAAGAGGAATGGAAATAATCCCGAACACTTCAGATGCTGGGCACTGTTTTTAAAGTTTCTGATAAGAGTCACTTATCTAAAAGGGACATACTCAGTAAATTGCTAAAATAGATGAAATATAAAACTGTGTTTTGGAAAAAGGATTTGTGTGTTCATTTCTCCCAAAAATTAACAAATAAACATTAGGATTTCTTCTCTTCAACTCAGCTTCTTTGGTCAAGAGATTTACACACATGGGGCCAGCAAGTGGCGGGGGGGGGGGGGGACAACCACCTGG